CGTATTTTTAATTAATGATAACTGGATCTCAAGTCAATCATAGAGAAGACACAAGCACCTTGTAACTGATCGAACAAGTCATTAATGCGAGGAAGAGGATACTTGTTCTTAATAGTTACCTTGTTCAACTGCCGGTAGTCTATGCACATCCGAAAACTCCCATCCTTCTTCTTCACAAACAAAACTTGAGCACCCCAAGGAGATGCACTTGGTCTAATGAAGCCTTTGCTCAACAACTCTTGAAGTTGGGCCTTTAACTCTCTTAACTCCGCGGGAGCCATTCTATAAGAGGGTATAGAAATGGGGCGAGTACTCGGTTCAAGATCAATACAGAAGTCAATATCCCTATCCGGTGGCATACCAGGAAGATCTGCAGGGAACACATCCAAAAACTCACGGACTACTGAAATCGACTCAATCGAAGGTACTTGGATAGTATCATCCCGGAGGTGTGCCAAGAAAGCTAAACAACCCTTACTAACCATTCTCTTAGCACGAATAAAGGAGACGATACGGATCGGATTGGAAGTGTAGTCACCCTCCCACACTAACGGATTTGTCCCAGGTTTTGCTAACGTCACAGTCTTAGCATTACAATACAAGATCGCAAAATTCGGATTAAGCCAAGTCATACCCAGAATTACATCAAAGTCAACCATTTCTAAGATAACCAAATCTACATAAGTGTTACTCCCCACAAAAGTCACCAAACAAGACCTATACACTTTTTCAACTATCACCGACTCACCCACCGTAGTAGAAATACGAATAGGCATGTCAAGTAATTCACAATGTAAATTAAGACCATTAGAAAAAGAGGAAGATACATAAGAAAATGTTGATCCGGGATCAAACAATACAGAAGCCATGCAATCATAAACCAAAAGATTGACTGTGATGACAGCATCAGATGCCTCCGCTTCAGACCGCCCAGGGAAAGCGTAACAATGGGCCCTATCACCTGTCTGCCCGTTGCCCCTACCATGTGGTGCTGTAGTGGCTCTAGTTTGCCCATCACCCCGGCCGTTTTGGTGAGCACCATTACCTCGGCCACCACGTCCCCCAGAATAACGGCCTCTGCCATGACCACCTCTACCTCTAGCTATTGGGGGTCTATAACTCTGGTTTGGACAATTCCTCCTAATATGTCAAGTCTCCCCACATCCATAACACTCTCTGGAGTCAATCATAGGTCTCTCAGAGAAGTGTTGAACGGTTTGAGGTGGACCTCCAACTACAGTCTGTAGTGAAGACTGAATTGGTCGGACTGAGTAACCTCCTGAACCCTGTCCTCTAGAGTAAGAACCATTAAACTCACCTCCCTTTCGAAACCTTTTTGATGTTGATGCCATGGTGAAGTCATCTGGCTTCACTCCCTCTACCTCTATCACGAAGTCTACCACTTCTTGAAAAGACTTTGCTGTAGCCGCTACCTGTATGCTTGAAATCCGTAATTCTGACCTCAACCCCTTCACAAAACGGCGAATCCGCTCTTGTGGACTGAAACAAAGCTGAGTGACATATATGGAAAGTGCACGAAACTTAGCCTCATATGCAGTAACCGACATCCTACCTTGCTCTAGGCTCAAGAATTCATCTCTTTTCCTATCCCTCAAAGTCCGGGGAATATACTTCTCCATAAACAAGCTAGAGAATGATGCCTAAGTCATAGGTGGTGCCTCTGTTGGTTGACACTCAACATGTGACCACCACCACATTTTGGTGTTCCCTTGAAACTGATAAGACACAAACTCAACACCAAACCGTTCTACTATACCCATCTTGTGTAGTAGCTCATGACAGTCAACCAGAAAATCGTAGGCATCCTCAGATTCAGCACCCTTGAAGACTAGAGGTTTCAATTTCAAGAACTTACTGAAAAGTTCATGCTGATCATTTGTCATTATAGGCCCTGTAGTCAGACGAGGAAACGTGCCTATTTCCAATGAGGTATCTATACGGGGAGTCCCAGCAGCGGCATGTCGTACCTTTGAAATCGAAGGTGCTGGTGCAGAAAATACTAGAGGTGTCTGGCCCTGATCAGATAATCCGCTAAGATAAGCCAGAACCTGATTGATCACCTCTGGGGTAGGTTGGGGTGGCATTTCCTCATTCTGCACTTGTTCATTCTCCCCATCCTCCCCCTCTCTTACTACATCCTCAGTCGGTGGAGGAGTCACTGCCCTAGTACCAGATGGGCTAGGCGCTCGTCCTATTCCTCTAGAGGACGTCCTCCCACGACCTTTACCACGGCCTCTTGCCGCTACTCTTCCTTGAGCTACAGCCCCAGTGGCTGGCTCAGACGCTTCTTGTCTTGCCGATGTTGATGTTGGCGCGGTTGTTGCTCTAGTTCTAACCATCTGCGAGATAGAGTGAAGATGTTCAGATACCAATTTGTATCACCTAGATACCAATTGGACCCAAGTAATAGCACGAAAGAAGAAAGAAAGAATGGAATTTTCCTAAAGTCTTATAGCCTCTCAAAGAAAAGTAAAGGCGTCCCCCTACCGTTCCTTAGGACTCTACTAGACTCGTTCTTGTGTGATGAGACCAACGAACCTAATGCTTTGATACCAAGTTTGTCACGACCCAAATCGGGCTGCGACTGGCACCCACACTTACCCTCCTATGTGAGCGAACCAACCAATCTAAACCTTAACATTTCAATATAATATCAACAGAAAATAATGCGGAAGACTTAACTCATTAGTAAAAACCAACTCATTAACTTCTGAAAACTCAACAACTATTATTATCCCCAAAATCTGGAAGTCATCACCACAAGAACATCTATGATCAAATGACTAAACTAAGAGTATTCTAAAAGCTAAAACAAGTAAAAGCTAGTCCATGCCGGAACTTCAAGGCATCAAAACAGAAGGAAGAAAGTCCAGTCCAAGCTAGAAGCGTTAGCTCACCCTGAAGATCCGATGTGACGAAGACTGGCTAGAATTGCGGTTGAGTTGAAGACGACGGTACGTTTACTGCACTCCACAAATAACAAGAAGAAAACAATAAAAGTAGGGGTCATTACAAAACATGGGTACTGAGTATATATCATCGGCCAACTCAAAATAGAAAACAATATATACCAAGTAATATCATAAAATCAACTATTATACTTAACATGTAGCAACAACAAGTACCATATCATTAACAATTACCGTTAAGTTCACACATGAGGACCCAAGCCTCAATACCATACTCATTTGGGAATTAGATTCATTAGATTGAGTATATTAACATCTTTCAAGATTCATTATCTTTATTCCTCTTGTGTCGGTACGTGACACTCCGATCCCCTACTACTATGTGTCAGAACGTGACACTTCGATCCCCTAAGTCTACGTGTCGGTTCGTGACACCCGATCCCCTAAATCTACGTGTCAGTTCGTGACACCCGATCCCGTAAATCTACGTGTCACTTCGTGTCACCCGATCCCCTAAATCTACAAGTCGGTTCGTGACACCCGATCCCCTAAATCTACGTGTCGGTTCATGACACCCGATCCCCTAAATCTACGTGTCGATTTGTGACACCCGATCCCCTAATCTCATTCTATCAATTTATCAAGCCTTCTCTTATACCAAGGCATCATCAATCTCAAGAGATTAGGTTTTTATCAAGATTTGGGATTCAATAGCTTCATCATGCTTATTTCATCACAATTACATAATCACATTCATGCAAGCATACAATTAAGCATATAGAAGGGTTTACAATACTACCAATACATATCATTCGCTATTAAGAGTTTACTATCAAATAGCATAAACCATAACCTACCTCCACCAAAGATTAGTGATCAAGCAAGCAAATTCCCAAAGCTTTGTGTTTTCCTCTTCGTTTCTCCTCTCTCGATCAATCCTCTCTCTCTCTCTTTGTTCTTTCTATTTTCTTTATTCAAATCCTCTTTCTTTTACCCTAATTAGTATATAATTAAGAATAAAAGATGGCAATAATAACCCACTAATTAACTTAGGTTACCTCTTTTAACCCCCAAGTAATTGGACTTATTAACATTAACCCACTAACTTTATAATTAAAGCAGGAATGGTCAAAAACGTCCCTTAAAACGTATAAAGAAATCCGCCCCAGACTGGGATTACGCAACCTGCGACGGCCCGTCGTGCCTGCGATGGTATGTCCTGCAGGTCGTCGCAAGGTTCAGAGACTCAATTTCCACCAAAGAGTCTGTGAAGGTCCGTTACACCAGTGACTGTCCGTCCTGCCATTTCGTTACGAAGTTCAGAGAGTCAATTTTCAGTACCCAATTTCAGATTTTCTAAGTGTTTTGAAACGAGACCCTGCGACGGTCCTTCGTGCCCATGACGGTCCATCGTGGGGTCCGTCATCTCAGCCAGTTTTCGAGAAGTAAAATCTGCTGCTCAAAATGACTAAACAAGTCGTTACAAATATCAACATTTGGAAGTCTAAGTATAGGATTGTGAGACATTCTTTACGAAAATTAAATGAGGTATTAATTGGGGGTGTAAAATACGCGCTTCACTTTTTTCTCGTAATCAATGTTTTATCCCACTGGTATTTTGTTAAGGTTTTTAATAAGGCAACTCTCAATGTGTATTACTAGATATACTAGATGATCGTTGCTCGTGCTAAGCACGGGCCTAACGTTTAACATTTTAATATTTTATACATTTATTATTATTTTATTTTACGATACATGTTTTATTTTATAATACGTTATTGGTCAAGTCTTGTCATTTTTTCTTATTTACCTACGGTATCAAGATAAAATATTTCACCAAAATTTCTTAAGCACGGTGAAAATTCCCTTCAATACTAAAACTTCAATTGGGAATTACTTTCATACATACGAATACATGTTAGCCATAAGACATTGTGGTCACTTCCCTTGTATTTTGATTTGAAACAACAAGATATAAAAATGATAATTTTGTCTTTGAATTAAGGACAGTATATATCAAAGTGCAGGTATCAGCTCTGTTTGGCTGTTTTGTATTGGACTATTAGCATACTTCACAACATTAGATGACTGTTTTGTATTGAACTATTAGCATGCTTCACAACATTACATGGTTAAATAGCATTTTGTTCACAAAAAAAATACACTGTTTATTAAGCAAATTGACAGTAAGAAGAAAGTGAACATCAAGAGTAGCTGAATGTTATCAAATTAGCAATTAACATTTAGGAGTTGCTGAATTTGTATGCACAATACTGCTCCGGGCTTGCAGACATGCTTTCAGCTGATGATGCTGTAAATGGGAGCATTATAGGTATTTATCATGGACCTAAATTTAATGAGTTGCATATTAAACAAACAAAATTAATATTTCAATGAGAAAAATTAGTAATTCGAACACATTATAGCTGCCAAATTTGTTCATAATATATTTTCATGTGAATGTCATACTATTAAATGTCGAAGTGAGATACTTGCATAGTTTAACATTTTCATATGTTGGAATACTAATTACATACATTTACATACCGTATAAAATTAGACAAAAACATATGCATCTTTCATGCTTGGATCTTCTGGATCATCTTTGATAAAAAAATCACCTATTAGCACAGAATCACATCACATAACTTATACAACACAAAATGAAAAAAAATGAGGCAACATTAAGCTTCAACTAAGCCTCATCTTTGAAGCCCTATTTCACGATTGACATAAGACATTTTATATAATAACACCAATATGAACTGAAGTGTGTTATTTTTTTTAAAATTCACTCACAAATTGATCATTTAGCAAGATAATGTCAACCAGAATAGCATAAACACTACATTTTGTCGTATTGGAATAGAATAGAGAATTAGTGGAAGAAAATAAGAAAGCCAAATGTTTGGAATGTAAAGCATCAATTACAAATGTATGAAATGAGATCTTAGTTAAAGATTAATATTATTTTTATAGTAAAAGATTGCAAAAACAGTCAAGAAATTAAAGTGACAATATGACCAAACAAAGTTGAACAAAGCTCAATAGGTGTAAAAATGACAACCCTCATCCAAGATTAAGAAAATCTTGGTAAGCCATAAGATACAACTCATAATATGTTATATGTATAAGACTAAAGGATCATTATTTATAAAGAAATTGATTCATAATTGTGACATAAATGTTAAAGGATTAATCAATCTGAACAAAAATTTTATGAAATATCTTTAGTATTTACCTTTAAACTTGTCTTGGAGAAATTCAGTTCAAGAGTTTCAAATTAGATCATCAGCATATAGTAAATGGACATACGATGACAATATTAAAAATCTCAAGATTGCTGATAGTTGGCTTTTAGATATCTGCAAAATTCTACTTTCAGAATGTCTTGATTAATTTTGTCCATAAAAGTCCATCACTTTCAGTTATTCATTTTTTCATGTCCCATTTTCTCCTCCAGTTATGTGGTTAGCTTTTGTCAACAGTAAGCAAAAGAATGTTACTATTTCTGATATTTTATTTAAAGTCAACAGCCAAAGAAGAAAACAATCAGCAAAAGTTCTTTCAAATTGGGGACAAACCTATAGCTCTATTATATTTCATAATATTAATAACGACTAAAAAAGAAGTATCTATCTCAGTTAAGTCTGCAACATAAAATAGTCACCTATTTTTAAGATACATTCACTAAAATAATTTACTTTCAATGAATCATCTTGATATTACATTTATAATAGTGAATGTGTACAGAAGATTTATATAGGCAAAAAACTAAATTGATGAAAATACAAAACATTAACATGCCAGCTTTCTTCAAATTATTACTATATTTATAATATATATATATATATATATATATATATAAAAAAAGACTAGGAACAAATTACCTGGATTTGAAACAACAGAAGACCACACAAATTTAAAATTGAACTATATGTTAAGAGAAGAAAAGAAAAATGAAGAGTTATTTAAAGGTTGAATGGAAATTTCTACATAGACTATATTTCATGATGTGTGATGAATATTCAGCCACTTGATAAAAAAATAATGGATTGGTAAATATTCCATCCCCTTATAATTAAAAAATAATAATAATAAAGTTATATATAAAATAAAAAAAGAAGGAACAATCTTGCTAAAAGCCTTAATATGTAAACAGTAGCCTACACCCCATTGCTAAAACCTTAAAAATG